CCCGGCTGCTGCTCCGTCCGGGACTCCGGGCCAGCCTGGTGGGCAGGCCTGGCGGCCTCAGCCACGCCCACAGGCCCCCTCTTAGGTCGGGGTCCTCCTGTAGCTCTACATCCTCATAGAGGCTCCAGTCCGCACCCTGGGAGGCCCATGGATCTTAACGCTGATCAGAGAGCAGATGTGGAAGGTCTGGACGGAGAGAAGCAGGCTTCATCATTCGTTCATCTATTATTTATTTATTTATTGAGGTTTTTGCCTTAGGGCACATGTGCTCATTGGGTGGGGGGCGGGATAGAGACAGACACAGTGAGAGGGAAACAGAAATCACCCCCAAGAGAGATGGCCAGGCCACAGTCCCTTCTCCATTCTCCTCCCGGGGTCTTGGGCACGCAGACGTGCCTGAATTTCAAGCCTTCTGGTCTGGTCTGGAACTCAAACCGCAGTTGGGCATGTGGGAGTCCAGCCACCTAGCTGCTACGCCATCTGCTGGTCCCCATCTTTTATTTACTTATTTATTTTTAGGTTTTTGCCATAGGGTGCATGCGCTCACCAGAGAGAGAGTGAGAGGTAGAGAGAAGGAAAGTTAGAAGTCACCCCTCCCCGGGGGGCGGGGCATGCTGCAATCCCTTCTCTGTTCTGCCCCTAAGATTCGGGGCATGCGTGCTCGCTCATGTGCCCAGCAATGTGGGAAGCCAGCACCTTAAGCACCATGCCACCTGCTTGGCTCCTCCTTTTCTTAAAGAATAAAAAATATTTAATTTTATTTATTATTATTATTATTTTAAATTTTGACCAGAAAGAAAGGGAACGTGAGAAAGTAAGCCACCAGATCTGAGACTGGAGCCAATACCGGCCATGTGGGAGTTCAGTGCCTCAACTATCATGCCACCTGCCAGCCCCCCGTCCCCTTTTTTATTTTTAAAGTTTTCTTATTGGGGCTGAGCAGTGGCACTATGCCCCATAGGCCAGACCCATGAGAGGTTCCGGTTTGCATCTAGAGCCTCCAAGTCCACTAGTATGTGTGTGCCCTGAGATCGGGGCGGGTCCCTCCAGCCATCACCAGCCCTGTGACCTTCCCCAGTCAGCGGCAGGCCACATGGGGCGCAGCTCATAGCACTGGGGCCCTGTGGTGGCTATCTTTCTGCTTCTTTCACTTCTAGGACTTTTAGAAAAGTTTGTTTTCTGTTTTATAAATTTTGCTTTAGGGCACATGTGCACACTGGAGAGAGAGACAGAGAGGCAGTGAGAAAGCACCCCTAGGGTTGATGGCTACAACACCATCCCTTCTCCATTCTCCTCGGGACTTTGGGCATGCATGTTCACGTGCCTGGTGTGTGTTTCAAGCCACCCAGTCCGGGATTTGAATGGCTCAGTCAGTCTTGTGGGATCCAGCTGCCTTAACCACCCTGCCTCCAGCTGGCCCAGTTTCTTTCTTTCTCTTTTTTTTTTTTGGAGAGTTTTTTGCTATAGGGTGCATGTACTCACCAGAAAGACAGAAAGAGACAGAAATCACCCCCGGGGGGATGGCCATGCCGCAATCCCTTCTCCTCCATTCTCCTCTCGGGATCTTAGGCACACACACATGCGCCCAGCGTGAGTTTAAGTCACCGGGTCTGGGACGCAAACCGCAGTCGACTACATGGGAGTTCAGCCACATAGTCATTACAATAACTGCTGGTTCCAAGGCCCAGTTTCTTTCTTTCATAAGAGAGACAGACAGACAGAGAGACAGGCACCCAGCAGTCTTCATGCCTTCTCAGCAGACTGGACAAAGGCATGTTTGCAGACCCAGTGTGCCCAGGGAAGTGTCGGGCCACAAACCCAGGACCTTTGCAATGTGCGTCCAGTTGTGTTACCACTAAACCACTGACAGTCTCTGAGCAGTGACTCTTGACCCCAGGTTTTACCTTAAAGCAATTTAAAAAATATAATTATTTAATTTAATTTATTATTATTGTTTTAACTTGCTATAGGACACATACAGTCACCAAACAGAGGAGAGAGAAAGTGAGAAAGCAAGCTGCCAGGTCCGCACTGGAATCTCTGTTGGCCATGTGGGAAGCCCATGCCGTAACTACCACGCCACCTGCTGGTCCCCATTAAAGCAATTTTTAAAACACAGCTAGGGGCCAGGAGATGGGGTGGTTAAGGTGCTAGATCCCATATGGCTGACTCTGGGGTTTGAGTCCTAGACCTGGCTGCTTGAAAATTCTGCTGGGTATGTATACATGCGTGCCCAAAAGTCCCGAGAGAAGAATGGAGAAGGGATTGCAGTGTGACCATCCCTCCCGGGGGCGATTTCTCACTTTCCCTCTCTCTGTCTCCAGCTGTCTCTCTCTGGCAAGCACACATACCCTGTGGCAAAAATCTAAAAATAAAATAAAATAAAATAAAAATAAAACAAAAAACACATCTGCCTACAGTAGATTATCGGATTATCCCTAAACTCTGCACAGGAGGAGTATCTCTGTGGGGTCTACCAGGAAACGGGGGCTCAGAAAGCTAAGCCCGTGTGCCCACCGTCGCACGGAGCCTGGAGTGGAACCAGGACTCTGGCTCCCCGGCGTTCTTCCCACTGTGGGGTACCGGCTGCAGGTGCTATCTTGGGCACCCTGGCTACTCACCATGCACTCCCTCACCCCTAAATTCCCAGGCTGATTTTCACCTAGGTGGCTTAGTGCAAGGGCTCAACCAGAAGTCGGGAACCCTGGGTTCCACTTCCAGTTTGCTCATTTATTCACTCAGCCAGTGTTTTACCGAGTATCTCCTGGGTGCCCGCTCTGTGTTTGGGATTTAGGGGTGAACCCAAAGTACCCGCTCTCATGCCATTTACTTTACTTTATGTTAATATCATAAGCACTTATTATCACGTAGTATTTACTTTTATGCCAAGAGACTTTTCAACCAGCTTCACAAATAGTAACTAATTTAAGTTCTCATAACAACCCCATGAGGTAGACAGTGTTAGCAGCCCCGTTTCCAGCGTATGGAGTGGGAATGGGGAAGCCACTTCGCAGTCACACAGTGAGTGGCAGGGCTGGACTGTCGCTGCATTAACTTGCCATGATTTGGTCCCGCCCTCTGGGTGTTTTCTATTGTTGCGGGTTACAGAGTCCCCACTCCGCTCTGAGACCATTATATGCTAGGAGACCTTGGCAAAAGAGAGAAGGCAAAATGGAGAGCCTCGGACGCCACGAGCCTCTGTAGACGGCCTCCCTCTCTTCCCAAATTCTCGCTTTCGCCCTCCAGACTTGCCCATCCAGAGGGGTCCGCCGCTGCCCCCGGCCCACGTCCATGCGGAATCCACCAGCTCCACGTCCATTTGGCTGCGGTGGAAGAAGCCAGACTTCACCACAGTCAAGATCGTCAACTACACTGTACGCTTCAGCCACTAGGGGCTCCTCCCTGGTCACTTACTACACCAGGTGGGGACGAAGGCTCAGGCTCAGCAGGTGGGCGGTGGGGACAGGGAGCCTGGGACTCAGAACATCCCATGGCTCACCTGCTCACGGGGCACCGAGGCCCTGCATGGCAGCAGCTGGGCAGGGAGTCTGCCTGATCCCCTCCCCGGCAGCAGAGGGGGGCAGGCTTTGGAGAAGTGACAGCAGACGGAACAGATCGTGTCTCTGACCTCTCTCTCCCATCCGAGGGGAAGAGGCAGCCCCTTGCTGTCCTCAGAAGGCCTTGGTCAGGTGGGAGCCAGGGCCAGGGGGCATCCGCTCAGCGGAGGAAGCAGTGCATAAAAAGCGGTAGCTACTGGGGCTAGCAGGTGATGTGGTCGTTAAGGCGGCTGGATTCCACATGGCTGACTGTGCTGTTCAAATCCTGGGCCCAGGGGCTTGAGAGATGCACTGGGTGCATGTGCATGTGTGCCCAAAATCTCAAGAGGAGAATGGAGAAGGGATTGGGATGTGGCCATTCCCCCACCCCATCCCTGGGGGTTATTTCTCATTTTCCCTCTCTGTCTCTATCTCTGTCTCTGGAAAGTGCACACCCTGTATAGCAAAATCATTATTATACTACTACTAATAATATTTTTTTAGAACTCGGGGGACCAGCAGTTAGCATAATGGCTATGTCACTGGACTCCCATGTAGTCAGCTGCGGTTCAAGTCCTGGACCTGGTGGCTTAAACTCACACTGGGCGCGTGTGCGTGTGTGCCCAAGATCCTGAGAGGAGAATGGAGGAGAAGGGATTGTGGCGTCGCCATCCTCCCAGGGGGTGATTTCTCGCTTTCTGTCTCTCTGTCTGTCTGGCGAGGGCACGTGCCCTATAGCAAAAACCTCTCCAAAAAAAGAGAAAAAATGTTTATAGAACTATTTAATTTTACTTATTATTAAATTTGACCAGAGAGGGTGGGAGGAGAGAGGGGGAGAGAGAGAGAGTGAGAAAGCAAGCTTCCACATCCGGGACTCAAACTGCAGTCAGCTATGTGTGAGTCCAGTGCCCCACCAAAACACCTGCTGGTCCCACAAAAAAACTGTTTTTAATTAACTAATGAATTAAAAGCAGTAGTTACTTAGAGCTGTAGCATAAGCAAAATGCAACTGAGATAAAGATGGGTCAGAGGTGATTCCTTGGGTGGAAGATGACTTGGATTAATCCAGGAGCTTTCCCTGGAGGAGGAGGCTTGGCTTGGAGATGGAACGTGGGGTAACATACATCTAGACTGCTCTGTGGATCCTGTGGGTGGCGCCAGAGAGCCCCTTCCCCTCCCAGGGTAGGGGCCGGGCTGGGTGGAGGGCAGGGGAGCAGGGGAGCAGGGGCGGGGGCTGAGCGGCTCTCCGCGGTCTTGCCGCCCCGGCCCGCAGTTCTGGAGAGGACATCCTCATCGGCGGGCTGAAGCCGTTCACCAAGTACGAGTTCGCGGTGCAGTCCCACGGCGTGGACATGGACGGCCCTTTCGGCTCCGTGGTGGAGCGCTCCACGCTGCCTGACCGTGAGTGCCCACCAGCCATCTTATCTGAGCCACCCGCGGAACCCCACGATTGGGCAGAGTCCAGTGGACTAGAGTTCCCGAAAGGAGAGGGTGGAGGAATGGCCACCCCCAACCCCACGCAGTTTTCCAGAACTTCCCCAGCCGGAGAGCAGGCCCGTTTTGGCTTTGTGGCTTGTCCCAATGAAGGGGGAGAGGGAGCCATGTCCTCATGCCCTGCCTCCCAGCCACCCCCAGGGCCAGGGCAACTCAGTGGTCCCGGCTCTCCCTGTCTCCTCTGTGGCACCCCAGGGCCCTCCACGCCCCCCTCCGACCTGCGCCTGAGCCCCCTGACACCGTCCACCGTCCGGCTGCACTGGTGCCCGCCGACGGAGCCCAATGGCGAGATCGTGGAGTACCTGATCCTGTACAGCAGCAACCACAGCCAGCCCGAGCACCAGTGGACGCTGCTCACCACCGAGGGTGAGGGCGCTGCCGGCTCTCCAGGGGGTGCTGAGGCTGCTTCTGGGGGTTGTGGAAGGAGCAGACTTGGGACTGCTTCCCGCTTCCCCTCGTTCCAGGGAACATCTTCAGTGCAGAGGTGCACGGCCTGGAGAGCGACACCAGGTACTTCTTCAAGATGGGGGCCCGCACGGAGGTGGGGCCGGGGCCCTTCTCCCGCCTGCAGGACGTGATCACCCTCCAGGAGAAGCTCTCAGGTATGAGGAGGGGCAGCCCAATTGCCCCAGCGCTCCTTACCTCTGGGCACCTCGACTTTCTAAGTTTCACAGAGCTGCCCTCCTGGTTTGGTGGGGACAAGACAAATTAGGAAGGGAAACCTTCAGTGGCTGAGCCGACTGTGGGTTCAGATTCTTGGGGACTGGCTTGGTTTAGAGGCCCGTTTCTTAGAGTGCTGTGCCCGGAGGCCTGGCCTAATGAGGTGAGCTTTTTGGTGGAGGAAAAGAGCCGGGCTGGCAGGGCCCTGTGCAAGATGAAATGCCAGGCTCCTTATTAGAATTACTATGATTTTTTTTTTTTTTTTTTGGAGAGGTTTTTGCTATAGGTCATGTGCATTTTCCAGAAAGACAGAGAGAGACAGAGAGACAGAAAGCGAGAAATCACCCCCCAGGGGGAATGACCACCCCGCAATTCCTTCTCCTCCCTCCTCTTCTCAGGATCTTGGGCACGCACGCACATGCACCCGGCGTGAGTTTAAGCCACCGGGTCCGGGACTCAAATAGCAGTTGATTACATGGGAGTCCAGTGACATAGCCATTATGCCAACTGCTGGTTCCAGAATTATTAAGAATTTTGAGAATCTTTGTAATGGTTGGCCAGCCCTGTGGCCTGGCCTGGCGGTTAAAGGAGCCAGATGTCATATGGCCGACCATGTGGTTCAGGCACTCACTCCAGCGGCTGTAAACCACACCAGGTGCCTGTCATAATAAGACAGAGAAACGGAGGAAAGGGAACTGAGGCGCACCCATGCCCCATGTGGGTTCTTCCTCCCTCTGTCTCTCTCTCTGTCTGTCTGCAACACAGAGCAGTTTCTGGCAATTAAAAAACAAAAACAAAAAACCAGAATCTTCCGATGGTGGCAGCAGAGCACTGAACCACTCACAGAGTCTTCGGCATGTAGGCCCCGTGAGGCTTCGCGGCTGCACACCATGAAGCCAGCCCAGGCTGGTAGGCGAAGCGCCAGTTGGGTGAAGAGACCGTGCTTCTGGACCTGGTGTGGAGCGGGCAGTTGGGGATGGTAGGAGTAAGTCCCTATGAAGCCAGGGGCCGCCTTTACTGGCCTCAGAAGGCTACGAGTCTTGGGACCGGCAGTTGGCGTAATGGCTATGTCGCTGGACTCCCAGACCGCGGTTCAAGTCCCAGACCCAGTGGCTTAAACTCACGCTGGGCGCATGTGCGTGCGTGCCTAAGATCCCAAGAGGAGAATGGAAGAGAAAGGATTGCGGCATGGCCATCCCCCCTGGGGGGTGATTTCTCACTTTCTGTCTCTCTGTCTCTGTCTTTCTGGTGAGAACATGCACTTTATAGCAAAAATCTACCCCTCCCCAAAAAAAGAAGGCTACGAGTCTTATCCAAGGGTGACCAGGGGAGAGGTCTCTTGAAGCTGTCACAGGAAGTCCTGCTCCGTGAGCCTGGGAGGGAACTGCTGGGGCTTGGCCTTGACTGCGCTGTCCCCTCTCTTCTCCACAGACTCCCTGGATGTGCACTCGGTCACGGGCATCATTGTGGGTGTCTGTCTGGGCCTCCTCTGCCTCCTGGCTTGCATGTGTGCCGGCCTGCGCCGCAGCCCCCACAGGTGGGCGAGGGGGCACAGACGGGACATCAACCGAGGGGCTGAAGTGTGGGCCAGCAGGGACCCTCGGAACCCCGTTAGGGTTAGGACTCTGGCATGAAGGGATCAAGGATGATGCCTTCATGAGAATGGGTGATGGGGTGGTGGACTAGAGGAGCCCAGCCTGCCTCCCTCCGCAAGGGCAAGAAGAGCCGCTTTGCTCCTTCGTCCCCTAGAGCTGCCAGCATCTTGGATTGTGGATCCGGGGCTCAGCCGCCTGGAGCCAGGGGCTGCCGGCCCCTCCTCACCGCTCACCGCCACTGCTCTGCCTTCTTTCCAGGGAAGCGCTCCCGGGCCTGTCCACCACATCCGCCGCTGGGAATCCTGCTCTCTACTCCAGGGCCCGGCTCGGCCCCCCGAGCCCCCCAGCCACCCATGAACTGGAGTCCCTTGTGCACCCCCGTCCCCAGGACTGGTCCCCACCACCCTCTGATCTAGAGGACAGAGCTGAAGTACACAGTCTCATGGGTGGTGGCGTTTCTGACGGCCGGGGCCATTCTAAAAGGAAGGTGAGCCTGGAGCCTGGGTAGGTCAGAGCCCACACTGCAGTCATTCCCAAGCGGGACACCAGGGGGCGCCAGAGCACAACGTGTGACCCGGTCTGCGGATCGGACGCCCCACTCCCTCCCTGGGCAGCTGCTGTAGAGGTACTCTCTCCCTCCTTGAAAGGGTTGGCAGGGCAGGGAAGCAACCAGGGGCCTTACCCTGGAAGAATAGGCAGGCCTGATTCTCACGGAGTGGAGGGCTCCCAATGGGAGTTTGCAGGTGACTCAGGGTGGCTCAAGCATCCAGGTCCCTCTTCATCCGCGCCCTGGGGAGACCTCCGAGACTCAAAAGAGCTGATCAGCTTGGCTTTGGCCAAGTAGGACTGGCAGGGATAAGGCGAGGCCCTGCAGAGCAGGCCCTGCGGTGCCTGCAGTGGCTGGCCCTTGGCCTCACGGGGACTGTACTATCCGCCTAGCTGGCAGCAACCCATCCCTAAGCCACCTGGCTAGGATTAGGGACTGTGTCCTCAGACCCACCCACTTGCTCTGCTCCTGCCTCACCTGGAGCCTTGGGAGAGGGATCAGCAGGGGAGGATAAAAGAGGGGGCCGCCCGACCTTGTGATCCCCGCTCCCAGACAGTGCAGGCGTGTCCTCAATGTCCCCTTCTTTCCCCTGTGCAGATCTCCTGGGCTCAGCCAGGGGGGCCAAGCTGGGCAGGTTCCTGGGCAGGTTACGAGCTGCCCCAGGTCGGCCCCAGGCCCGCTCTGACCCGGGCCCTGCTGCCCCCTTCCGGGACTGGGCAGACGCTGCTGCTGCAGGCCCTGGTGTATGATGCCATCAAGGTCAGTGCTGGGGCCTGGGTGGCCACTTCCGCATGCTAGGAGTCTGGCCGGGACACGGGCCTTAGTGATCACTTCCGCATGCTAGGAGTCTGGCCGGGACGCATGGAGCCTCCATTGGTTGAGTGGGCAGAGGGCGGGCCAGTCTGTCAGAACCCGTTTCCCCCGGGTCGCGGTGGTGCCTCCTTACCCAGCCCTGTGTGGGCTACAGCGCGATTAGCGTGGACCTGACTGTGAGCCTGGCCCGGGAATGCTGTTCTTCCTCCGATCCACAGAGGCCTGGCTGAGTCCTGGAACTCCCGGGCAAGGGCCAACGGGTAGGACTGCATTTTCCCTGCCTTCACGTGGTCTGGACAGCGTCTCTGGTGGGACGGTCCCTGTGTGCTCTTTGCCACCTTCCAGGCACTGGATGCTTGGAGCTGGAGGGTCGGTCTCTCTTCGGCCGATGCCGTCAGTCACTCTCACCTTTGTGTTCTCCGTTCTGACCAGGGCAACGGGAGGAAGAAGCCACCCCCCGCCTGCAGAAACCAGGTGGAGGCTGACGTCATTGTCCACTCCGACTTTAGTGCATCCAGAGGGAACCCCGGCCTCCACCTCCAAGACCTGGAGCCCGAGGATCCCCTGCTGTCCGAGGCTCCTGATCCCACTTCGGGTGTCACAGATCTGCAGGGGGCAGACTGGCTAGACAGGGAGCTGGGAGGGCATGAGCAGGCAGCCACAGGGCCGCACAGACTTACCTGCCTGCCCGAGGCAGCCAGTGCTTCCTGCCCCTACCCGGACCTCCAGCCTAGTGAGGCTCTGGAGGAGGCCCCTGGGAGCAGCGGCAACCCCAAGGCCCCCTGCCCTCTAGGAGCCAGCCCTGGCCTGCCCAGAGCCTCCCTCTCCTCTGCTGAGCTCTCCTAGAGGGTGCAGTCGGGGCAGGCTGTGTGGATCATGGACGTGGCATGTGGCCTGTGCCTACCGAATGTCGTCAAGCCATTAGGAGCTTCCTAGGGTGCTCTGGCTGGGGGAGAGGATCCTTCACTCCCCCATCCTTTCTGCAACACATATGAGATATGTGAGAGACGTGTGAGACACAGCGATGTGATGTGCACATGTGTGGAGCACACGCGTGTGTTCTGGTGGGAGAGCTGGGAGACCTTGGCCCAGGCCGTGGTCCCTATGGCCTACTTGATCCTCCAGGTCAGGACAGTGCTCAGAGCGGTCAGTCCCCAGCCTCGCGGGTCCCCTCCGCCCCCCAGCCTTTTATTACACTCTGAGAGTGTCTCCAATGCCCTGTCTGACAAAGACAGCCCCAGCCCGCCTTCCGCCTTCCTGTCTGGCCAGACTGAGAGAAAGTGGGGTCTGAATGCCTCCCTTCCCCGCCCAGACTGGGGGCCACTCTGGCTCCCCTCAGAGCAACTCCGAGTTTGATTTTGTAATTCGGGAAGTGCCTGGTTTTGAAAACTTGCTTTCTCTCGCTCGCTCTCCCTGCTCTGCTCTCTGTTCTCGGGTCTGTCTCCCAGTCAGCTTGCTCTCTGGTTCCAGGGCCATCCCTCTGGCCGTCCCTTCCTCCCTCCCTGCTGTTTCTCTTTCTCTGCTGTCTCTCACACCTCTCTCCTGCCCGGGTTCCATCTCTGCATCCTTCCCCAACAACACGACTACCTCATGTCTGCTTCAAGGCCATGGTAACTCCTGCATCTGCCCCTCTTCCCCTCAGGCAGACTGCCCTCTGCCCTGACAGGTGGAGGGAGAAGCCCTTCCGGTTGTCCTCGCATCTCTTCTTGGGATCAGGGTAGGAGGGTTCTCCTTGGAGGTGAGGAATTTCTGAGACAGGGAAGGGGTCTGTGACTCTCAAAATGACTCTCTTCTATGCAGAGAGGCAGGTTTGCTGGATGGAGGTGTTTGCAGACTTCCTTCCCTACTGAACTTAAAGGGGTAGAAGGAGGTGGGAGTTAGGGGAGCCACAGCCCAGCCACTTCCCACCCTGCGCCCTGAACGGAACTTGGGGAGTGTGGGTGAGAGGAATCTCATCCTCAGATGCTTCGAGGGAGGTTTTTGCCCAAGAAAAGGGTGGCTGGCTCATTTTCCCCGAAGTTTATTTATTTTTTTTATGAGAGAGAGAGAAAGACAAGCACCCTCCACAAGGTCTCATGCCACGACCCTTCCCCCAGCTTTCCCAGCCAGCCAGGGTCACCAGCATGCGCCTGCCTGCCTGGTATGCAAGTCAGCCCCGACCGACCTTGACCTTGACCTTGCACTGGACCCAGTACCTTGCCGTCATGGCCAGCCCTTGTTTTTCTTTCTCCTTTCTTCTTCTTCTTCTTTTTAAGTTTTTGCCATAGGGCGTGTACGCTTGCTGGAGAGAGAGACAGACAGAAAGAGAGAAAATGAGAAATCATCCACTGGGGGCGGGGGAGGCCACGCCACCATCCCTTCCTCTCCGTTCTCCTCTTGGAATTCTGGGCATGCACGCACCTGTGTCCAGCGTGATTTTCAAGCCACCAGGCCCGAGACTAGAACTTCCGTCGGCCATGTGGGAGTCCAGCACCTCAACCACCTGCTGGCCCCTCGTTTTTCTTTAAATCGAATCCCGAAGTCGTTTTCTGTTGACCTGCCCCACGGGGACTCTATTTCCTGTGCAGCCAAAACAATATCGTTTGTCGGATTTTTCACTTCAGTCCTCCAAAGGAGCATAGTATGTGTGCTCTTTGCTTCCTAACTGCATCTTTTTAACTGATCGGAACATCAAGGGTTAACTCTGGCTTCTGGACCAAATTAGAAATAACCAGTCTATCTTTCCTTTCCTCTTTTTTTTTTTTTTTTTTTAATGGCGAAATGTCTCTCATCAGAGTTGCCGCTTCCTCAGACCCTGAAAGCATCTGTGTTTATTACACTCGGATGTCACTCACGTTTGACATCCGTACCTACATTTCCCCCTCCTCCCCCTCCTTCAGCCAGCCTATGATAACACTAAAGATTATTAATGTTGGTTTTGTCTCTCGTTATAGATAGAATTGTCACTTGTACGCTCCAGGCATGCAGCCTTGCCGGGTTAACACCACTGTGTATGTTCCATCATTGCTCTGAAGGTCAAAAGCCTTGTTTTATTTTGCTGGTCTGATTTTTTTTTTTTAAAAAAGGGGGGGAAATGCCCTGAATTAAATGGCTATTTTAACAGTAGGCTCTTAGCATTATACCACATAGTCATTTTTCATGTTCTTGTTTAACAGGCACTGAGGTTCTGGTTTAAATTAAATAGCTGCAAATGAGACAATTTATAACCCATTAGGTCGGGTGGAAAATTGTTTCTCAAAAGCAAATAAGTAATAAATCTGGTATCTGTAACTCACAGTTGATAAGAAAGTGGCCACTGCTCACTAGCTTCTGTGTGGTTAGGGCTCTGGGTAATTTGCAAGTGTTAGGTTTGTGTCTTTGAGGCAGTGTTTTTATTAGAAAAGAGTCTATTGGCCTTTACAGGGTATTAATCCCTTTGTCACCTACCACTGATGCCTTAAATGTTTTGAGTTTTTTTTTTCCTTGATGCATGACAAGTATAACCAGTAATCGCTCATTTATGTCTGTATTTAGTTTACGCTGTATTTTTTCATTATTTCCCCAGCATTTTTCCCTCCTTACAAATATGATATTCTTTAGTGTTAAGCTAAGGCATTGATCATGTATCTGTCCTGATAATGAATTAATAAAACTATTTTCCAGAAATGTGGAATTCTCTTTTGGAACCAGCCACTTCAATGACCTCAGTCCTTCTGTCTTAGGGAGCGTATTTCTTACCAGAATGGGAAATGGTTGTTTGTTTTTAGTTTTTGCTATCGGGTGCCTGAGCTCACAGGAGGGAGACAGACAAAGTGAGAAATCACCCCCTGGAGGTATGGCCATACCGTAATCCCTCTTCTCTCCGGATTTTGGGTACATGCATCAGACATGTTTTTCAAGACTGGAGGTCTGGGACTCGAACCACAGAGTTGGTCATGTGGGATCCAATGCCTTAACCACTGCACCACTGACTAGCCCAGGGAAGAGCAAGGTGGTTGTGGGAAAGACTGAAGCATCCCACTCCTTTGCCAGGCTCTTGGGGAAAAGTTTTGTTTTATTTTTTTCCCTTAGATTTTTCCCAGATTTTTGCCATAGGGTGCATGAGCTAGAGGGAGACAGTGAGAGGGCAAGTGAGAAATCATCCCCCTGGGGGGATGGCTACACTGCAATCCCTTCTCTCATAATTTTAATCATGCACGCACACTTGCCTGGTGTGATTTTCAAGCCACTGGGTCTGGGACTCAAACCGTGGTTAGCCATGTGGGAGTCCAGGGCCTTAACCACCACACCACCTGCTGGGCCCAGAAAAGTCTTAAATTTAGGAAAGATGTAACCTGTGGCAGACGCTCTGGGAATCTCTTTCCATCTGAGCACACGGTATCTAAACTTTCTAGGGTGCAAGGAGAGAGTAACCAGCTCCAGAGATTGGCATGCCACATCTATTCTGGGGTGTAACTCACCAAAATCCCTCATGGCTGCATATTCATACAGGTACTGTGCGAGCCGGTGCTCAGAGACTGCACGCATAGACCTGCCTGCCCAGCCGTGTCCACCGTCTCATACAAGAGACTCCACACTCACGCCGCACACACTGCTCGTGATCACAGTTGGCAACCGTTCTCTGCTAGGATCTTTACAGAGTTCGAAACGTGCTATTCTCCAGGATCGAGCTGCCCTGCCCAAGACCACCCCCAGAGCGGCTGGTGGGCCAGACCCACAGTTAATTGACAGATCATACAGAGAGATAGCGCACATTTCACATGCAGCCAATAGCCATTATTTGCATATCACTCTCAGACCAAGGGTTGTGATAAAGAAGAATTAAACACTTGTCAAAATGAATTAAAAATGACAGCAATTCAGGACACCAATTCGACCTCCAGAATCCAGGCCAAACCAGGAAGGATTTGCCGAGAATTCAAGCCCTGCTGAATTCAAGCCCTGCGGGAGGGAGTTCCAGGACTTTAGACCCAGGCAGGGCCCCTCCTTCCCTACCTTCCCTAAGTCTAATGGAGGCCTATCAGTCCTGCCCTCCCTCCCAGTGAAATCCACCGAGAGCTCTCCACTCTGGAGTCCCTGACCTTGCATTTCTTCATTGCCCTCCCACTGCACAAGCCCACGACCTGCTTCTCGGGCTCCTCTTGTAGTCGCAGTGCAGACAGAGGAATCCCTGGACAGTACAAACCCCGACGTTAGTAAACTTGGCCCGGCCACAGAAGTCTGATTCCTGGAGGCCTGAACTGTACTCATCTGCACCAAAGTTAGTTGTATATGGATAGGTTAACAGTCCTGGTGGTGGCTCCATATTGTGATGGACTCATCCATTGTTGTCTTCAACAGATCATGTGATAAATAGTGGCCAAGACTTGGATCTTGGAGGGTGAGTCTGGGTGTGTACCTCCCGAGGGACATGCCTACCTTCTGTAACCCTCCTGCAATACGCCAAAACATTGAGGGTCTTCATTCATGGCACAGAAATGTCTCTGAGAATTTTAACTTTCAGTGTACTTTTCCAGTTACCAGGTCATTGTCCAGACCTGTGGGGTTTAAAGGTCTCTAGGGATGAGCAGGGGAGAGAGGATCATCTTCATCCTTCAGATGAGCTCAGTGAGGGCGATGCCTGGGGTGGAGTAACCCAGAGTCCGAGTCGCGACCGGTTTACTTTAGGGCGCGCTCATTGTCTGTTAGGTCTGCTCGTCCCGGGCAATGCACCCAAAGGCCAGAATGCTTCAGTCTTGCAGCTAAACAACCAATCGTTCAATTGGAAGGACCAAAACCTGTGGAAACCCGAATCTTTGACAACTTTGTAGAGCTTTTAGGGAATTCTCTCTAAAACATAGACTTGGACACGGCGGAGGCGGGCGCGGCAGAGAGTGGGTCAGGGCAAATCCTGCAGCTGCGAGTGTTTCCCCACAGCCAGAACCCACTCCACCGTCCGCTGGGTCTTCACCTCCCGGCCCCCTAAGTTCGGGGCCGGCGGCGGG